GAAACGAATATTACGAGTGAACTGAATGAGCCTCTCGGCGGATATTATAAGCCACCCCAAAAGCAGCTGGATGAACTGCCACAAACACCACCAAAAGCCAAGGTATCCAGTGTCCTGGGTGGCCTGTCGAAAGGTATTAAAGGCGGTTTGGACGGTGTGCTGAGCGGCGTTAGTTCAACCATGGAAGCAACTAAAAATAATCCAGTTAGTGTCAATAGTAAAAAGGGTTTTGGCTTCGGACTGGCCTCCAAATTGGTGCCAAATGTTGGGAGCTTACTTGTGAGACAAGTCCCAACACCCATGACAACCTCCACCTGCACCAATACTATGATGTTGACGGATAGCACCCCGAAGACAACAACTTATGGATATGATTATGTCTTGGAGTACGAGCAATTTCCAGATAATGTAAATAGAAATAAAAACACGGACGTCAGCGCACCACTCACACCTACACTTGACTATCTCGGCTCTAAGTCGAATTTAGATTTTGACTGTATCGGAAATGATGACTTGTCTCATAACTGCTATAATTACAGTGATTATCCAGTAACATACGCTGACAATGCGCATCCCTACTCAGATGCATATAAAGTAACTACAAGCCTTCATGAACTAGAATTGAGCTCAAATGAAGCTGGCATCAAAGTCGAAGCACCATTTAAGCCCCCGCCCCAAGTAGGAAAACCTTCGCTTACACCAGTTAAGCAGAACATAAAGAGCGCATCGGGTGGTGTGTTTGGTTCCATATTTGGTAAAGCTGCAGCAGCTGTACAATCCGCGACACAGGCTGTTAATCAGGGTGCCTCCTCGGTTGCATCAGTCGTGGCTCAAAAGGCAACAGCACAGCAGATCCCCTCAGCAACCGTTGTTGAACAGATCAAGATTATAGATGCACCAAATACCATTACGACGACGTCGTCGTCTTCCAATCATATGCCAGCTATAAATATGTCGTACGTCTCCAGTATTGAACAGGCAGCAATGGACAATGATAATTTTAATGAATTACTTCCTAGCCATGACTCGACCTATTCAACAGCTGACGATGATTACGAAAATAGCAATACACATATGCCTATCCATGATGATAACAAGGCATACTCTATGTACTATTCCAACGATCAGAGTCAGAACCAGAATCAGGGTCTAAGCGATGAGATGCTAGGGAAATTGAAGGTATTACCGACGGTGCCGTCAGCAGGATCCAGCGGCAAAAAACTGCCCACCATTAATGGTAAATCGGGGCTGATGCTGATTAAGCAACAGCCAACTGAGATCTTTGATGATGATGATGACGAAGTCAATGAATCGGATGATGATCTCATTGACAATTTGATCGGTCGCACTGATAATCCGAGTTATTGCATGGATAGTGAGCAGAATGATTACTATACGGATCATCAGCAGACGACACCGTCCAATAGAATTGCTAACGATTATTATGAGCACGTCGGCACGGGTTATGATTATCGAGAGGATTTCTTTAATGAAGAGGACGAATATAAGTATATTGAGCAACAGACTCAACAGCAGCAGGAGCTCCAGCAAGAACAACAACAACAACATCATCCTTATCAGAATTCACATAAAATGTTGCTCAGCCATAAGCAATCTTCGTTAGATTACGTGGACGATGGACAAAACGACGACTACTTAAACGAGACGTACCCAAGTGATGAAGACTGTGGCAATTATCTAGATGAAAGCTCTAGTGGTAGTGTTGGCATTACTGAAAACCGGAAAGCACATTTGAGCGGCATTAACACAGCTCCTGTTACCGTCTCAATGGGACATTTGGAGCATCAGCTTCAGCATCAGCATCAGCAAATCAAGAAGCAGGATAGCATTATTATCGAAGAGGATGAATCCAGCCCGATTGACTTGAATGGCGATCGTAGTCTCTCAATACACAGATCACCCGAAGGTGAGCTGGGTGATCATGATCATCTTAGTGTCGATGATGATGATCAACTGGCCGATCTGCTGCCGGCTAGAAGCAAGTCGCAAAAGAAAAAGAAAGTCCTTATGCGCGGCGAAACGGAAGAAGTTGTCAGCGGTCATATGCAAATCCGAAAACCAGAAATTACAGCCAAGCAAAGATGGCATTGGGCCTATAACAAGATCATAATACAGCTCAATGTGAGTACTTCATTTTTCTCTTATACTCTATATATTATATGCGTATACTATTATATACTTCATATAGTATATATTGTATATATTATTATTATATATTATTATTATATTATAATTATTATTATTATATTATATTGTATACCTGATTGTTTATTCAGCTGTGTGTAATTGGGAGAATAAGGCTTGCCCGACTCAACTAAGCCGGCTGTCCGTACGTCTGTTTGGCCTGAATTAATATACTTCTGTAAGCGTGGCTGTTTACCAGCCTGTTTGTCCATACAATATCTCGAGATTGAACACTTAAAATATATATTATCGTTTTTGTACACGGAAAACGCTGCTATACTCACTCGTTCATGTAGTGAAAACTTTTGTCCAAAGCTTTCCGTCCGTCCGTCGGCTCAAACTCGGAATACCTTTTTGCTACTCCTGTCCTCTGCAACCACAGGCTCTTAGCACTACAGCTTGTCGGATACTTTCGACTGTATTTACTTCTACATGATCACTTGTATAAGGCCACAAAATTATATATATATGTATACTTAACTATTCTTATAAATATTTATGCCTGCTTATACGTTGACCCATTGAAAGTGCGAATTCAGAGTAAATTGATTTTGTGAAAGCGTATGTAACAAGCAGATCGCGGCAGTCAATCTGGCCATGCCCTATGCTAGATCTACAGATGTCAACAGAAAAACATCTTTGAAATTCAAGCTCAAAAGGGAAACTCTAAGGGGGGAAGGGGGGTACAGTAATAGCCGATTTCCTATATTGGAATGTGTGTTCGCCCAACTATACAAAAAGAGGCGATAAATGCCGCATTCACTCACTTTCGTTAATGATTTCTGTGTTTCTCAACAGATTTCAGTGAAATTTTCCATATATTCACAATAAAAGAATTCAAAAGTATATAATATATAGATGAAAGTATCTAGCTCCCAGACGTAAGAGACAACTTAACAATGAAGTCAACTTTCAAAACCAACTGAATGACATGCTGTCTCACAAAACCAGTATAACCGCATTTCGCATATTCAGGGTATAATAAAATGCTAAGTACTACGATGCGCGCACATAAGCTGAACGGACTGACCGAAGGCCACACGCATAACAGTGATAGTGATAGAACGGCATTTACATTCTCATTAATTAGCTGATATGGGATACTTACATATGTGTGTCACGTATATGTGGCAACTCAGTGCCTGCTTGTGTGTATGCCAACTTATGCCATACACATGCACGTTAATTGTTAATTCTTTATACATACATAACTCTGTTTGATTAGCTGTGTGTTTATTTCAAACTGTGCCCTCATGCACACACACACACACACACACACACATCTATACAGCAATACAGTGGTTTTTTAGGCATGTGCAAGTTCAGAAATTAGTTTGTACGTTCATACCACACAGTGCCCGTGCGCGTATGGAAGGCCCACACCATGAACCTGGTATACGGTTTGTTTAGTAACCGCATCTGGCCCGGCTTTATCCATGTTAATATTGTCAAATCTCAAAACGAACCGTCTTGCGGCCATCAAACGCTAGTAGCCCCATCTGTGGCAGAGCGAACGCGAAAGTTCAGCTGCCTTCTAAAACTTCAACGCGAAAGTGTCGTGTCTTACGTGAGTAGCTCTTGGTCGGGTATCTTTGCTACAGCCTTATATTTCTTTAGTTATGAATTCGGAATGCAACTCGATCTATTCGATACCTTCCGATGATTCGTATAAATATTTCATAACAAAAATATATATATATATGTATTTATATATTATTATATTATTTATTCATTAAATATTCTATAAATATAGTATATAAGTTGTTAAGTTTCTTAATTTTTAAAATATTAGTTGAGCATACTTGTTAGAAAAAATTTTAATTTCTATTTTAAATAATTTGCTTTAAATAATTTTTGGTGTTAGCGAATATAGAATACAAGCTTAATAGTTTTTTTGATAGCTTTGTCTAAGTTCTTATGATAAACACAAAATTATAATTTGATTTGGTTCTTGAAGCGTAACTCGACAACCCAAAAAGCTGGAGATTGAAAATTTACTGTGTAGCCTGTAATCTCTTGTAATCAATAAAATAATGAATGATAATGATCTATTCGGATTGGGGACATTTCTCTGTAATTACCCACAGTGTGGATAAACAGAGATTTGTGCCTTTGCAAATACACATAGATAGTACAAAAGTCAGTCAAAATTTAGTTACCCAAGTAATACGTCATATTACAGCATAACCCAAGGACTTTTGAATCATTGCAGCTATTCGCAGGGCAGAGGGTATCTTCTAGTCGAGCTTTGTCGCCTAAAGCAATCTTAACATACATCGTACTATCGAATTGTGATCTGGTTACAAAAGTTGAAAAACGACAATAGCCTAGTCAGCTTAGCGAGCAACCACTGTCCTTATTAAGCTCTACATAATAAGCTCTCTAGCTCTCTCTCTCTCTCTCTTCCTCTCTGTGTTAGACTTAGCAAAGCTTGAAAAAGCTTCACCCAGAAACTCCCTTGTAAGCTGTTTTGTAAATCGCATGCGTAGTAAACCGACCCGAACATAACCCGACTTCCAACTGCGGCTCATCTATTGCTCTCTCTCACTCTTTCTCTCTCTTTGCTTCTCTCTCATTTTGTGTGTGTATTCCATTTCAATACAGATGAATTTTATGCACTCCCGTTGTAGCTGTTCCTGTCCACTATATATTGCTAGACACAAGTTCTGTGGGAATACACACACTCGCATAAGCAAACGCGCACACACAAACACTTTTAATCGAGAGAGCGCTTGTGAGAGTTGTGAAGGTGCCGTTAAGAAGTAGAGTTTACTAAGATGTAGTATACTTTTCAGCGTTTTCCAATTCACACCGATTCAGTGGCAGGCATTTGTTAATAAGTGAAGACTTGGCTTGAAAATATAAGAGCAATTTGAATTTTATTCAAAAACCCTTTAGTTAGAAGAACAAACTGAAACTAGTAAATAGCTGTTCAATAGATTCAAATTAAAATTATTTAAAGGAACATCAACACCCCGAAGTGAATTGAATGGAAACCAAACCAAAATACGTATACGCTACATGTTGTTATACATACTAATGTATGTGAATACATAAAATGTATTAATTGTGTCACATGATGACACTGCCAAACATATCTTTCATACATGCATTATGCGTGCGCAATATATATATATATATATATATATATATATATATATATATATATATATATTGTTCATTATGTGCATTCTATGAAAATTGGCGGCTGTTGCTGGTGTCTGATGGACACCAGTGTACTCATGCCTATGGCCATTTGTTCGATTTGTAGAGCTGTCAATCAGCATTTTTTTGCCTGATGTCGCTAAAACTGTCTCCTTTAAGCTTTTAGATATCTATGATAGCTAGGATAAGGTAGAATTTTTTATAGTTCAAAATATTTGAGAACTTTCAGTCAGCTGTAAATTGAGATATACGAGGTTTGGTCAAAGACTTGTGAACTTAAGTGTATTTCGATGTTTGACTTAGGAAATATTCATGTTATTTTCCTAAACATAATACCCGAACGAGTTGCCGAATGAATAGTTAATTAAAGAGATACTTGACGGCTGTAATAATAATTAGCCAAAGGATAGACATTACTGTAATTTCTATAAAAGTTTCTTTTTTAAAATCAGCTAAACGAACTAAAATTTACTGCAATTGGCAATTTTGGGACGACAAATTTAAAGTGCAAAATGTATGTATGCACAGCGTTGATATATATTTAAATGTATATAATATTTAGTCGTGATGTCAGCAACAACAACCACTCCGATCCCGTTTAAGTCTTCATCAGATGCTGACACGGACTTGCTGCTACAGTCATCATTCGCGATGCCAGCCAACAGCACCAGCAGCAGCAGCAAAGCCATGAATCTAACTGGAATAGAAGGAGTCGACTCCAAAGCGGAATCCTACAGCGTGGCTGCCAATGCGTTGCACAGTCAATTTAAGATCAAGCAACAATTAAAGCAACATCAGCAACTGGAAGCAGCAAAGCCGAAGGAGCTACAAAGCCATCGACATCATCAGCAGCAGTTGCAGCAGCAGCAGCAGCAGCAGCAGCAGCAATCACAATTGAGTTTGTTTAGCGATAATCTGTCCATATCCATGTCCAAATCGAATCTAAATAATGGCAGCATGGCATCGATTAGAAGCGAACAACAGCTGTGTCAGCTCTACAACTCACATCAGCATTCCGATTATATCATTTCGGACTATATGGATAAAATTGCGACTCGAATCAGTCTGCTAGAGACTGAGCTGAAATTTGCATGGCGTGCTCTAGATTTGCTGTCGAATGAGTATGGCAAGATTTGGACAAGATTAGAGAAATTGGAAAACATATCTGTCGAACAGCAATCCGTAGTTGGAAATCTAATGGGCCTAATTCAAGCCAAGCAACAACAGGAACAGCAGCAGGAAAACATCCAAATGCCATTCGCTACATTTTTAACGGAAAATCAACTGTTGCCCATGGAACTGGAACTGGACGGCAATATAGATATATTGAACGAGTCAAAGCCAGAAAAGTCCAACTTTCGTCACATTTTAGAGGAGTTGAAAGCGAATCATGATGATCTGTACTTAGATGAAGCCGGCGCCTACGCCTTAGACATGGATAACAACAGCGACAGCACCTATCTTCAGGATAGTACTAAGGAGCAGCTGCTGGATGAGCATCAGCAGCAACTGGATGAATGCGATTGGCTTGCAAATGCAGCTGATATGAATCAAAGCCAGAGCGCTGCTCGCGTCCGATCCCGAGCTAAGCTCTATTCCGAGTCGGATCTATTGATGTATGAACAGCAACAAATAATGGCAAATAATGCTCGAGCCGAATTACTGCAGGAGTTTCTAAATGGCCAACGCGTGCTGGAGCAAGTGGCTGCATCGGCATCAGCATCGGCGTCGGCATCGATTACTGGGAGTCTGCGCAATATACAGTGTTCTAAGAGATCGTCACAGGAAATGTTAGCCGACACCTCCAATGAGCTCGATCAGCTCGTGGATGACGTGAAGTTTTTTCGTTTAACAGCCGTTAAAACCGGTCAAGGGGGGAACGAGATAGTACCCATAGAAGACACCGGGGGTACGACCTCGACGATCGATTGTCAAATCAATGAAAATTTCTACAAGAACTTAAATGAAGCATATCGCGACAACAACATGGCCACGGAAATATGCAATGTGGAGCGTCTGCTTCAGCAGTCTGAAATAGCTCACGAGTCCTTGACTAATGAGCAGTCAGCAGTTTCGTTAATGATAACCGAGAATGCCAAGAATCTCAGTATAGAAACAACGGAGACAACTACATTTAAGGGCAAGGAATTGAGAAAGCATCGGAAGAAGAAACATCATAAAAACGAAATGGATATGATAAACAATTTGAAGCATATACTAGCCCAAGCATCCAGTACTGCGGAAAAGATACCTGATTCAAGTATAGCCTATAGCAAGACAGAGTTCGCTTCAGATAGAGATTTTGGAAGTACAACTATTTTGTCGTCTTCGGAAGACACGAGTCAAGAGAGTATCGCCGTCTTAGATGCCATGACTGATGTTATAATAAGGGAAATAAATAAAATAGGCGATCTACAATCATTATCAGGATCTCAAATTCTTAAGCTAAGACAAACAATCAGAGCTGAGCAAACTTTCTTTGAGAAATTGAATCAAGTGGATAAAAATCTAACGCTTCTTCTCCTTAACCCCGTCACCATGGCCGAAGAGCTGAGACGTTTGCGGGTCATGGAAGTCGATGAAAAGTTCGAGCTTGTGATGAAGAAGTTCGATAAAAATATAGATACCTTAAAGAAATTAGTTGGCAATTCATTTGAGCAATATAAAATAGAAAAGAACTCACATTTAAATTCCAATTCCAATTCTAATTGCACTGCAAAATCCAATACCAAATCAAAGTCTATTTCAAATTTAAATATTAATAAAAATAGTTGCACTTCACAGACTTCAGCTTCTTCAAATGAATATAGCGCCCATTTGTTACGTAATAATTCTGATTTAGATGAACAGCTGAAGTTGTTGGAGACCCAGGAAATAGAAATAAATCGTAAAAAAAACATTGATAAAATTACAAAAATTCGTGAATTGGAATTGAAAGCGGACAAGAACGGAGAACTTTTAATCTCGAGTCCCAGTCAAGACCAACAGCAGAAGCAGCATCAGAAGAATTTTAGTTTTGCTGAGCAGCCTTTAAGGAGTATTTATAACCAGGATGAGTACATAAGATCACTAAAGAAAAGCCTCGAAAGGCATAATAGCATGTTGTTCCTATTACATCTACAAAATCCGGATAAGCATAAAGAAGTCGCTACCACAGACTTGGATGATATACTGCTGGGACCAAGCGGCTCAAGTCCGCCCCCACCAGCGCCCAATGATAATGTCTTTGACCACATATTGGACATAGCTGGTGTCAATACCTTTGCCCAACAGCTGCTGAAGCCCCATCAGCAGTCGCAGTTGCAACAACAAGCTAAATCTGACTCTGGGCTGTCGTCGATGAGTGGCTGGTCGCCAAGTTCGAATGACAATATCAATTTCAGCAAACGCAATGATATGACCATGGAAATGATGCAGATGATGATAGCGCTGCAGTCGAGTGACAACATCGAACTGGATCAATCGAGTAAAGTTAACAACATTGATGTGGATTCAAATGTCGATTTGAACATGTATCATCAGCCTAAATCGGATAATGAATATATGCTCAACGAGGAGAACCTCAACTATATACATGAGTTATCGAAGAATATTCCAATTTGTTCAGCGTATGAAAATAAATCAATGTTCGCCGAATCAAATCCAAACGACAATGAAACAATTGCTACAATTGATGAAATGCTTACATGGGATCAACGACAACTTCAGCCCAACAACAGAACAACTCAACGATTTTCGGACAACAACAATATGAATGCACGTTCTTCAAGCATGAGGCCCTACATAATGCCTGATATTTTGAAGAACGAATTATCGCAGAATTTGGAAAAATCATCGACATCGACAGTGATATCGATACCGATATCACAGAACTCTGGCAATATGGAAACGGATATTGATCAAACGCCGCGACGTCACGCTCTCTTAACAGATCGTCTCGTCTACTATCCCACATTCAATGGCATCGCTGACTACAACAGCAGCAATAATCTGGATTATTTGGGACTCGGCCACCAGCCCAACCATCATGCGTCATCATCACCATCGTCTTTGCATATCAGCCAACATCAGCAGGCAACCTCAAAGAAATTAGCGGACTCTCAAACGCATCCTTTGCAACGATCTAGCCAATCGTCTGGCAAAAATATTGAATCGAAACCACCCAAAGTCTGGAATAAGTTGGCCAATCTATTGCCGGACAATCTAAAACTGAAGCGCTATACCAGATACAAACGGTCTCAGTCGCTGCCTGGCTGCGATGCCGTTGTTGGTCAGCAAAGGTCACAAATGCAGGTTCGTGGTCAGGCTGGTTCGTATCCGTTTGCCAAAACATCTGCCTCTGCCACTGCTTCAATCAATCCAATGCGAAGGCATCAGAATGACCTAACCAGGCGCATACAGAAATTACCAATGCGCATTATGCAACGGGAAGCTGAATCAAGTGCCTATGCTAATACTAAGCAAAAGAAGCGTTCGTTCTCCAATAAAATGAATAGGATAATGCAGAAGGCGAAGTCATATAAACGGCACAGCTTTAACTTGCGCCACGGATCTAGCATTTCAGACACCGAATTAGATAATACAAATTTTACAGCTTCCGAGGAGGAGTCAACTAATAGCGAATTTGAGGTCACCAGACATACGGACAATGATTATGATGATGATGATGGGGATGGGGATGGGGATGGGGATGGGGACGGGGACGGGGAGCATGACCACGGTTGGCATAGCGCCTTTCCAACTCAAAATGGACGGCATGAGTCATACATTGAGAATAACAATACCGATGCTCGGGTCAAACAGGATAATAATCTATTTGCTGTTGTCGGGGACCTAAAAAGGAATTCTCTTATATCAGCTGATGAGCAGCACTTGCAGAATTTAAACAGCATTGAGCGCCCTCATGATGACAATTTAGAGGAGAATATGGCAAATGTCAATGCTCAAGCAATAATGAAAGTTAGAGATGATGATGGTGTTGCTGCTGCTGTTTCAGCTATTTCATCAACTTCTGCTGATGTCTCAGTGCCTACCCTACATATTGCCTCAGCTGTTGCTCCAGCTTACCCCCTCGACCTTTCTTTAGATGTTGCTTCGGAGAACATCAACAATTGCTTGCAGGCCACTTGTGAGCCGAAAGTATTTAACGTACCCTCTCTTATGGTGGCAATCACGTCGTCGGATACTACGGAACCCATTCATTGCACAGTAATTATGGCACAATTGAGTGAGCAGCATAATATTCATCATCAACAGCAACAGCCTCATCATTTGCAATCGTTAGACATACCAAACATTCTCAATTATGGCTCAAGAGAGGACGATGACAATCGCAGTCAACATTCCGGGCGAACCTTGTCCTCGTCACGTCGCCAGAGCACGGAGGATAGCATTGACACAGATGACGAATATTTCTGCTATGAGCTGCGACAATTGGAGGAGCTCGAAGCTGAAGCTTTGGCAAAAGCCGACGCAGAGCAAAACAGTTACGTAAAGCATTCTGACAACGAAGTGCTCTTCTCACAGATAGGTCAGTTGGCGATGAGTGATAGCATCTATTGTACAGGAGATACGGAAGTTGACTATGCGCCAGATGAAACGGTTAAGCAAAGGATGTTTGAGGTGTTGAACGAGCTTAGATGCGTTGTTCAACTGCAGCCGGCAGATACAGATGGTCGACCCACAAAACCTGATGATTTCGAACTATTGGGCAAACAGAAACAAAAAAAGTTGGTTCAAGTCTCGGATATGCACAGCGCTTGGCAGGATGTTAATACTGAGTACCAGCTGCCTAGCAGCTCCAACTCGCCAGAGGCAGTTCTAGCAGCATTACCAGCATTACCAGAAACACAACTCAATAAAAAAAAAAGACGAAAAGGCGAAAGGTCAAAAGTTACAAATCAAAGACAAGACGAGTTGCCATGGACATCCAGTTCATCCTACTCATCAAGCGACGATGAATACGATTACGAATACAAACAAAAACAAAGGTCGAATCCTCCTCCTACGGATCTACAGCTTGATAATGATCAGGCGATCGAATCATCCAGTGCTACATCCGGTCCAGATACGCCAGCGGCTCTCAGTGATGAAATGGATGAGAATTTGGTTGAAAATGGAATTAGAAATGCCTGCGAGCCTGTTACTGATGGAGACATGGAGCAGATCGCTGTTGCGGAAAAAGATTCTGTGCTCGCAGTTGAGCTAGAAGAAACCTCCGACTTAAACGACTTACACAAGAGCTTAGTGAATGCAGGAGCTGAGAGTAATTGTCAGCAAAATGTCTCGCCTCATAAGCTAATTTGTTTAGACTCGAGTCTCGATGGATCTCAGGTGGGTGCCCCAAATAGCGCTGGGGCCAACTTGGGCACCAGCAAATGGAAGTTGTTGAAAACTTTGAAAGAGCGTAAGATCGAGGAGAAAAACAATCAGGATAAAATGAAGGAAGAAGAAATGGCTAAAGACAAGGAGAAGGTACAATTTTCAAGTGTATATATAAAAACATTATAAATAAAAAGATTTCTATTATATAATATTCAATTAAACATTTTAGTGTGTATGCTTAAAAGCTTTATAGAAACCTAATATGTTATTAATATTATTATTATTCTTCCTGAATCGATAAAAATCGATAATTTAACTTTGTTGTTTAATATTGTAAAAGCTGGAGACTTCAGAATGAATACAGAGACTGAAGATTTCGGATTTTGAATACCTCCTCCTTTTCCGAAATAAGCAACAACTAAAGACTTATGCTTTGGCCTATCTGTGTTGTATTGTGGATATCATCATTATGTTCAGAAAATTTCATTAAGGAGCAACAGTTGTTCAGCAATTAATTGCCTATAGTAAAGGAGAAAAGCCCAGCCAGTGTGTGTGGGTGTCTACGCGTGCGTATGTGTGCAATAGTTGCTTTAATGTATGTATGAAATAAGCGTGAATTGATTGGAATATATGCGCAGGGTTCAGATATCTCCTAGTCGGGCAGTCCCGACTAGAGCCTTCATACTTGCTTAATACTTATATTTATTATTGAATATATAGCTTCATTTGATTTGAGATGATGCTATATGAATCATAATTTAATAATCATAATTATTGTTAACAAATTATTTTTCAAATTTAAGTATTACATATTCCACTCACAATTATAATATATATCTTAAGTGTTTTATTACATACTTATATATAAGTTGTTTTTTTGTGGTGTGGGTTATTATAAGGCAACTGAACAATTAGACTGGATAATAATAATAATAATAATAAAAAAATAAAAATTATAATATTATATATATTAATATATAATATTAATAATAATAATCATAATAACAATAAAATAATAATATGTTTATTTTATAGAATGGGACCGGCACAGGTGACGTGGGCCTACGCTCCAATGGACATCCGAGCGATAATCCTTTCTACAGCAATATTGACAGTATGCCGGACATACGACCACGGCGTAAATCCATTCCCCTTGTTTCTGAGCTGGTAAGTTCGATTGTTCGTCAAGAAGCGCAAATCAAAAGACAAACGGATATGTGTATCTCTATAATATATATATACCTTTTCTATCTTGATTTCCATATACCCACACATCTATATCATCTAACATATATCCCATATATGTTCGTGTTTGCTTTTACATTTAATATTTAAAATTTTATGATATTTTATACGGATGTTAAACTTTTGTTTTCTTTTGTACAACCAAAATTAATTAAATGTGGATCACAGGTGCTCAAGGTATAAAACGATAATCGAATTCTCAACATTTTTCTCAAATTTTCAATTTCAATTTCAAATTGTTTCAATTCACCTATTGTTAACGAGTTTTACTTAGTATTTGCAATTTTCGCAACGTTTTGCATTAGTTTTTATCAAACTGTAGTATTTATACACATATATATATACCTATATAAATAGATACTTATATATAGATATATTTATATATAGATATAAATAACACGAATAAATAATACATAATTTACTGCTTCCATATGATTTATTTATGATAAATTTTACCTAGACGGTTCAAGCTAGTTCTATGTTTTATTTGATTGCTTACATTTATTGATTTCACACTCGTAGTTTCTTCAATGGAATCTTTGAAACAGCTAGAAGTCAAATATCGTAGTCTTAAATTATCATTTTCATAATGAGAACTGACAAAAAATTGAATGTAGGAGTTCGGGGTATATTAGTTTTGTTCCATTGTATAAAAATAAATATTTATAAGAAATTTTTAACTTATTTTGCAGACATATATATCAAATAGTTTCATATTTCATAAAATATGTAGATAACACATTGAAAAGCGCATTTAACCAATGCTGAAATTATTAAAGAAAAGCCACGTGGCAACTAGTACAGTGCACACAGCAAAAAGCAAAAAGCACGCAGCACTAAGCACTGAGCACCGAGCAGCCAGAGCGGCTCCCTGGCTAAAGATATTAATGAAATAATGTTTGTGGCCAAGACATGGAATCCCCTAGATTGATGGCAAAAGTATATATTTGTAAATAGTATTTAGGCTCATATAACTGTGTCATATGTTTATTCTTTATTTTGTTTATACGTAGTTAACACTTACAAAGTATACTTATATCACATTATTTAGTCTTGCAAAATATAAAATATTTTATAGAAGCTTTTTAGCATCGTTTAATTATGTTAGGTTGACACTCATCAGAGAATATATCTCATAGCTTAAAGCCAGTGTAAAAGCTGGGAAAACATATAAAATGGGTTGAGTCAAACTTTTCTAATTGTGTTTTAGCTCATAAGCTGTAGGGTGTATTGAGTTGATCCTGAAAGCATCATTCAGAAATAAAGAAAATATATAAAATTGGGCTTATAGTTTGCAAGTAATAATACACAGATTGTTAAGGCTTCAGATTTTCAATTTCACTTGCTCCAAAAGCGAAAGAACTAAATATTCAATTAGTATCGATCTACTAAACATATACATCGTAACGAATCACAGATATTGATGGGATTATAGAAATATATATATGTATATATGTATATTAAAATCAAATATCAGGTTTAAAGTCGGTTATTATCGACTATATACTAGTTACTAGATATTTGATATTTTATATTTACGGTTACTATATATACACAATACATGCACTCTTTGCCAACAGTTAGTTAAAAGTTGATTTTATTTGAGTAATGGAATTTGTTTGCATTCGTGGAAAATGTTTTGTTTGGATTATTGAATTTTTAATTATAATTAAGATTGGCATTTATGTACAATAACCGAAAATTAATAATGCTACCTTAGAAATTTGGTTAGCAATTTAGAAATGCTTTTCTTATCTCTATACTATATATATATATATATATATACTATATATATATATATATATATATATATATAAATCTAAATCTGTAGACAATGGCAGCCACTAAACGCAATGCTGGACTCACATCAGCCGTGCCCCGAGCAACGCTCAATGATGAAGAACTGGTAAGATATATATAATATATAATATATAATGTACGCTAAATATAATAATATAATATAATATATATATATATACAAAATATATATATTTATATCATTTAAGTTTATTTAAAAACTTGAAAACAATTGGGAAACCTGCCCGCATGTGTTACGCGCGATCTCAGCACCAATAAGAGCTAGATACTTGGATATCGTACGGCTTAAAAGCTAGGGTCTCCAAATTTTGTATTCACTTTTATGTATATTTTATATAATTTAGATTTTTATTATATTTTGGATAATCAAAATTTGCCCAAATTTTTTAAATTTAAGTTCGGTTGCAAATAGAAAGATTTTCCAATCTTACTAAGCTGGCAAGTACTTCAATAGAATCGTAAATCCTATGCTGATATTTTATTGAAGTCCGTTAGGTATCAGCTAGTCGGACAGATCGGACAAGAGCTTTCTTACTTGATTCATTTACTTAAAATAATTAAGCATGAAGAGAGAAAAGTAATGTATATAGATAAGAAATCTCTTCTGCATTCTACATATGTCAGAATTATATTCCTATTCATGGATATATGATTCTTAAATTCATGAATCAACTGTTCTTCGAGTACATGAGTATAAATATCCAGGATTTATCGCTGAAAATAATCTCTTTTAATTTAATTCATTTCAATTCTGGCTTTTAGAAAATGCATGTCTATAAGAAGGCACTGCAGGCGCTCATATATCCAATATCTTCGACGACTCCGCACAATTTTGTATTATGGACGGCTACCTCGCCTACGTATTGCTACGAGTGCGAGGGCTTATTGTGGGGCATCGCCAGGCAGGGAGTGAGGTGCACGGAATGCGGGGTCAAGTGCCACGAGAAGTGCAAGGACTTATTGAACGCCGATTGTCTGCAGCGTAAGTATAACTCTTAGTTTTCCATTTTTGCATTGACAATGTGTACTTATGTTCAGGTGCCGCTGAGAAGAGCTCCAAGCATGGTGCTGAGGACAAGGCCAATTCGATCATTACAGCAATGAAGGATCGCATGAAGCAACGTGAGCGCGAAAAGCCGGAAATATTTGAATTGATCAGGTAATGCTTTGAAAAAAAACCTCATTTGTGGCTGGTGCGGATATTCATACTCATCTATATATGATACATATATACTTAAGTGCTCTGTCAATTGACTTTAATTGGATAGTTATCGATGACATATTTTAGCATTATGCCAAGACTTTGTTAGTTATGACTGATTTAATGATCGATTTTTTCATTTGGATTCTACAATAAAATGCTGCTGTGCCAATCAACACATTTCGACCATTATCAATATCGATCTATCAATTATATATATCTAACAAAAGCCTTAAAAAGCCCCATAGCAATCAATTCTCAAGTAATAGTCTATCAAATGGACGAACTTTATTTTGAAACTGAAACACATATATGGCAATCGAGTCGCGTCGATGATCAGTGAATCGCTGATTGATAATAGTTATACTTAAAGAGTGGTCAGGTATTTCAATAAGTTTATCGACTATCCAATGTTAGTATATTTCGATGTATCTCGATAACTAACGATTTTCGAACAATATATACTGTTCCCCAAATGTAAAGATCAGCTTTATGACACGATATGACCTCTCACACACTGTACTACATACCCATCCATATATAACCTATTTAGAGCCGTGTTCAGCATTGAGGAGAAGAGCCATACTGGCCATATGAAGGCTGTGAAGCAGAGCGTCCTGGATGGAACCAGTAAATGGTCAGCGAAGATCGCAATCACAGGTTTGAAACTCCACATCAATGTGAAAATGTGACTTAACACAGTTATAAAAAACATTTGCATTATTCCCTTACTAATTGTGTATATGAATGTATGTGTTTGCAATTTCGATTTCGATTTCCATTATCTAATATCTAATGTATACAAATATATATATATATATATCTATATATTTATATATTGATATATATATATATATATATATATATATATATATATATATATATATATATATATATATATATATATACATATATATATATATATAGTAACAAATAAATATCTGTGTGAATGTACAATTAATGGTATGTGTGCATGTATGTATGAATGTTTGTAAAGTTGATCGTACAAGTACACATATACTTAAGAAACTCATTAAGCTCATATACAGCCTACATCATATACAATATAGTTCATACAGACAAATATATACTTAAATGTATATGCGCTTGGTGTTTGTGTGTGCGTGAGTGTAAAGTATGCTGCTTATACCTGAAATGCTCTATTTATAATATGATACCTGACACAGGGCGTCGAACGAACAAACTGTGAAATGCTTTTTATTTGAATGAATTGAGTTCCTTGCTCTCTGGCGAGTCGAAACTGCAGAGTGTACCCTTTGTAAGAGATCGTTGTATTTAGTGTTACTTGGTTCTTGAGCTGACCAATATATCTTTTTTCCATGAATTCTATATATGTATGTTATGTACTCTATATAGATAGACTAAGTTAATAGTGGATGGATTTTCAAGCGCACCAGCCTAGCCGAAAACAAAAAAAAACAAAATTAAATAAAAATAAAACCAATATATAAATCTTTAGTGTTAAGTTATTTAACGGTTGGATTATCTTATCACACATATATCTGCAAAATCAATTCCAATTCCACTTCAAATTGCAATTCCAATTCAAGGATGACATTCGGTGTGGATCCAGATACACACATAGATTCATTAGAACAGGCTGAGCACGCAACTGTTGAGGGAACATCTAAATGGTCATGCAAACTAACAATTACAGGTACACAGGCAAAGCCGAAACGGTATTTGCGAGTATATCTTATGTTTTACAAACATATTTATTTACATATATATATGCATACTCTGTACCCACTTGCAGTTGTGAAATTAAAAAGCAATTCGGAACAGTAGTATTCAGAAACTCATATTAATGAATAACAATTAAATCATAATATCAAAACTTGCACAAACTATACAAAAATGTTAGAATCTATATATGCATAGATATACTTTTATTTGTCTGTCCATGAGATATAGTTCCTCAGGAGCTACACTACATCCACTTTTAATCTGCACAATATCTCTTATGGTTATAATTTATTTATTCTTTCTTAAATATTTTATGTTAAATGTTATATGTTAAGAAAAAACTGAATTGGGTACAGAGTCGCGACGAGTCGAGTGCCATCGACTAGATTATTTTTCCTTGATTTTTAGTACGTTTTGTTTTAGTGGTTCATTCCCATAAGTTGTCCACTTTAATGACATTTATTCAAATATATACCTTTGCCACAGTAAACGACAGTTGTGAACTATCTTCCATCTTTCCCTTAGTATTCAGATTATACATACTACATATATATTTTACAGTTACAATTGGCTAACTTCCGCCATGCAGCATGAGTTCCCAAAAAGTCCTCAATAATCGCACATATCACAAAAGAGAAAAGAATATTGGGAAAAGTTTGGGAGAAATTTAGCTTCGATTTCTGATTCAGATTGTTAAACATATATCTTTATGTAAAGTATACCATGCACCCAAAACAACTATATAACTTGTCTTATTTCAAGTAATCAAATCAAATCAAATCAGATTTATTGAGTCCAATGAAAATCCAACTCCCCAAAAAACTCATCATTGATAGATATAACGCTTTAAGGACTCAAATACTGCACATGTTCCATGTCTCTCTCTCTCTCTCTCTTTCTTTGCCTCTCTCTCTTTCTGTCTGTCTCTTTCCTCCTCTTTATGTTTGTGCTAAAAGTGTGTGTAGAATAGTAAATTAACAACGCTTCATTTTGACTTATACAAAATTTTCGCTCAACATATTATTCGAATACACACAGATATATATTTATATAGAACATATCTTCATACTCGATCACTAAGCGAAAACTGTATATTGGTTTCTGCAATGCCCAATGAACGTCCTGAGTCTGTGGTTTCGCCCGCTCGTCCGTCCGTACCCACATACTATTTCAGTGCTATCAAAGCCATAGCTAGGCTGATACGTCTGCTGAAAAGATCTATGACCATCCATGCCTACCAGGGGCGTTTGGGCAGCTGTATCTGCCAGCTAACTAATACCTGTATAGCCTCTCTGCAAATTGATCATTAATGATCCAAGCATTTGGACGACGCAAAAAAGAATTGAAAATTTTTATATTTGATAAAACTAAACTGTGTTTGGGCCGTGAACTAGTATTAGCCAGTCAGCTGGGCCAGACTGCCATATTCTTACACGTTCTTCATTTGCTTCATAAACTAAAGAATTTACTTTTATACTAACCACACAGTCCACAAAATCCACACATTCCACACACTAAACTATTAAGATGAAAAGATTAACTAGTTGTATTATAGACAAATACTCCCCATCGATATCCAAATGGTTTTTATGCATTCCTTTCAGATGTTTCTTTCATAGTTACGATTTTTATATATTAATAAAAACAGTTAACAAGTGCGAGCTCGGTATTTGCTAGCATATATAAGTCACAAATATATTGGTAGGTACTCATATAAACTATTTCAGAGTTCTGATATCAGTTTGACAGTTTCAAATATTTGGATCAATGATCGATAACGGACTTAACATGAGCTTGCTTTCTCTGTCTCAGTTGCTACAAAGAGCTACGGAGACTAGGGATAGTAAATGAGAGGGCTTAAGTCTTGCCAATATTTAGTGTGACATGTGAGCTAATTTCATAGCTCCCACTTGTGGAACACCAAGAACTACTTAAATTAAAAATTCAAATTCAACTATGCACAAAAATAATTCCTGAACGATAATTTGTGTTAAGACTAACAACTTATATAATGTTTTGCATGCCCAGTCAGTCCAATATTTGTTATGTGTGCCGCTTAATGGATCAATACTAAGCGACTGCTCTTTTGTTTATCTATGGATCTGTGGAGTCTCAGATGAATCAATGCTTAAAAAGCTCTACTCTATGCCAGAAGCCTGTCATTTTTAAACACCTTATATATTATATAGATCTCCAATTTCCCCTAACCCACTCACCTGTTTGCTCCCTCTGCGTACCTCTCTCTCTCTCTCGCTATCTCTATCTCTTCTTAATTCTTAGCTTTCAGAAGGAAAAACTATTGTTGTTTCATTCGCTCAGTACATTACTCCCATGTAATTTGATCTTGGCTATGCTTTAGCCTAAAGATTTTGTCCAAAAATGCCAAGCGCCGTCCATCGTCTATATAATATTGATGCCAACATATTGAGTATATAACAAATATATATTTAAATATATCAACGTTCGGCTTCTAGAACTTGCTGTAAATTTGAGGAAAATGATGAAACTTGAATTCATCTGAACTCTTGGGCTGTTCTTTTACTTGATATCCTGAATCTTTTTCAGACATAGAACTGCTCCGACTTTTATTTTGAGCTAGGGATAATTGAAGAAATATAGATCTGTGTTCTGGTTGGATTTTCACCCATTTACTATTCAGCTTTGGAACTGTATACAGCAAGTCATCAAATATTATGTACATAGTCCTCAATTTATCCACAAACGAACACCCTATATGTACATAGATATATATATATAATACATTTACGGTGCACAAAATACTCAACCCAAGCCTGCTCAACTCTACCTTTGCCTGTCTAATCAAAAACAACTAATAGAATCACAATCGATCAGTTTGTGATCAGTTAACTGCAAGCATTTGAAAGTGCAATTGATTACGTATAACTAACTGTACGAATACTTATAATACTGTATATCATATTTTGCACGCTTAAAAAATTATTCGAAATTTTGTTGATTTCGGAAGGTGTTTATTTTTTCATTTTATTTTTGTGTTTTTTTTTTGGCTGATAGATGCGTGAATCCGAGATCTTATATTATATTTACTATATATGTAAATGTATATACATATATATATATAGATATATATATATATATATATATATATATGGGTGTTTTTTGTTTGGTATTGTTAATTTGTTTCTTGTCCACTTTTATTGTGAATGCGTAAATGTATTGTACATAATAACAGAAAAACAAACTTCCTCACAATATTTGTGCCGTTGCAATTTGTAGCTTAGATCATGATAAAAGTGCTCTCTGATCAGAATCGGTTGGCTTAAATGTCTAACTGGGCTGCCTAAGCATTTTTATTGCAAGCTCTTTTCTTAAGAATAAGCAAAAGATCATTAACTAAATAAAATACCAACCTCCGTTTTTTCTCTTCTTCTTTCTTCCTTGATTAACAAAACTGAACAAACCACAAATCAAAAAAAAAAAAAAAACCGAAAACCAAAAATTTAACAATTTGAAATGCACCAACAAATCATATGATATCAAATCAAATCAAATCGTATCGAATTAAATCAAATCAAAACCCAATAAAATCTTGCTAAACGGTCATGTTCGTTTCAAACCTCAATAACAAACATATACACATACACATACACACACCAACACATTTAAACTTGAACTCGAACACTGTGCAACACACAACATTACATTCTCAACACTATCAACGTTATGAAACCAACACTAAAACAACAACAACCCCTCGACCGAAATAATACTTATCAATATTTGGACTTTTCTGGGGGTTCTTCCGGTTCTGAAACGAATGAACGCCAATATATATACATATATACATTCATATATAAACATGTATATGTATTTGTGTATATATATATATAAAATATATCCAACAACTTATCTGATCTCAACTGTACAGTGATTTGTGCTCAAGGCCTGATAGCGAAGGATAAAAGCGGTACGAGTGATCCATATGTGACGGTGCAAGTGAGCAAGGTGAAAAAGCGAACACGCACAATGCCCCAGGAGCTAAACCCTGTGTGGAACGAGAAGTTTCACTTGTGAGTATCTTTCAAATGTATTTTGCGCTTTCTTTGTGTTTTCTATCTTTGTATATAAATGTATGTATGTACGTGTAATTCGTATATATACGTTCTCCCACAACTGCCTATTTGTATGTACATACTACCCACACGAATAGTACTTATATAACACATGCACTCTCTCTCTCTAATCCTTAATAATTTTCTCTATGGATATGTGTATCTAATGTATGTATAATTTATTTACTTTTCACTCTGTTTCTCTGTCTCTCTCTCTCTCTCTCTCTGTTTAACCCATCGATTTCTTGCTGTTTCTGTATGTGTATGTGTGTGCGTGTGAGTGCGAGTTTGAGTGAAATATGTTAAATATATACATACATGCCGACACGTGAGTGTGTCTATATATAGATACACATACATATGCACACTTGAGCGGAACTTTGATAGTGTGTGCGTGCGTGCGTGTGTATGTTTTTCAAATATTCATACACACAAATGTAAGGACGCGCGTGCTTCTATATTTCAATTGCTGTCCCTGCTGTTGGCTTTTGCTCACTCTTCTTGCCCTTGCTCTTATTCCATTCCATAATACGTACAGCTATGCATACATTAATAAGTGGCGCTCACATAGAGCTTTACTGCTCTTTTTCTCTACTCTTTTCTTATTCTTATACTTTGCTATGGTCGCTTTGATCACTGCGCGTGTCTCTGTAGCTTTCCAAAGCTTTACGTTTTTTAAAGAAACAGTCTCACTTCAGATCGATAGTGCTCTTCAAAAATAAACTAAATTAAACTATAAACAAAGTTCAACAAAGCTCTGTCATGTATTCTTCTCCTTAATTTCTTTTCGTGAACCAAATTTTGCATGGCTGTCCGATCGTGCTATGATCTAACGTATACATGCTCTTTACAAATTCATATAAACAATATACAAAAACCCAGTGTAATCTGTCTATGAATAGTTTAAACCCATATATTTATGGATTCTATGGAGCTTTTATATACATTAATACTCGGTCGGGCTTCTATGTAGCTTAGCCTCTTGGGGTAGGTCGATAAATATTTAACTGCCACTTCTAGTACCTGGCTTTGGAGTAAAGGTATCTACATAAAGATATCTAAAATTGGTATGCATTGTTCATTGGTGTAACAATAAACCGATTATGTAAAATTCAATTCAAAGTTATGTTCATTATGTGTATATATACTATTTGACGGTTTAATATTCTAATATAATATAATATGCTTGATGAATTTTACCGAACAAACTTGTAAGTATAATATCGAAAACAGAAAAACAATAAGTAAAGCAATCCGTATGCTCTTGTTTGATTATACAATGCTATGGATATTAAAGCAAAAATGTAATTGCTTAATCTTCATATTCCATACATACTCTTTGGGCGTAGGTGATTTATCCTTTTCTTATATTTAACAATATTTATTTAAGTATGTTCTCCAACATTTTCGTTTTATTTCCAATTCAATCGGCTACTGATATACTATATCAGCTGAATTGGCCTAATAAATATACTATATTTCTCTCATCACAGTTCATTTGGTGATCATCAATTCGTTCCTCTGTTTGCTCGTACCTACAATCTGTACATTTGCCCATGTATCAGATATTTGAACACATATCCAGAAAGAGTTAAGATCTGGTTATGAGAAAACATATTCACTTCACCAAGAAATATCTCTCTAAAACATATTAAGTTCTTAGTTTCTCCCTGTTTTTTTCACTGTGCACAACATTTACTTATAAATATATTATACTTATAATATGTATATTTATTATAAGGTTTAAGGGTTCTCTACCCGATGCATGTAAACAATGTATAAACACATTTGTCTGTAGGTTGCCCTTTAGATGCACAATTTTAAAGAACTGAGTATATATATAATTGTATATATATATATATTGTATATATATATATATATATATATATATATATATATATATATATATATATATTTGTATATAATATATATATATTTATTTACGTATATATATGTGCGTATTCCTATATTATTGATGGAATATGCAGCGAATGCCACAACTCATCAGATCGTATAAAAGTTCGGGTCTGGGATGAGGATAACGATCTGAAGTCAAAATTGCGACAGAAGTTGACCCGGGAATCGGATGACTTCCTTGGCCAAACGATAATCGAGGTACGAACTCTATCCGGCGAAATGGACGTCTGGTATAACTTAGAGAAACGCACTGACAAGTCGGCCGTGTCGGGTGCTATACGACTCCATATTTCGGTTGAAATAAAGGGTGAGGAGAAGGTTGCACCTTATCATGTCCAATACACCTGCTTGCACGAGAATCTTTTTCACTACCTGTGTGAGGAAAATATCGGCATGGTAAGTGATAAGTTTTAGATGATCGTAGTGCTTATATATTTGTATAAAAATATATATTTTATAGGTAAAGCTACCCACCCAAAAAGGGGACGATGCATGGAAGCTGTACTTTGATGAAATTCCTGAAGAGATTGTTGATGAGTTCTCAATGCGTTATGGTATCGAAAACATATATCAAGCAATGACTCATTTTCATTGCCTTTCCGCTAAATATCTCTGTCCGGGAGTTCCAGCCGTAATGAGTACCCTCTTGGCTAATATTAATGCATATTATGCCCACACGACTGCCTCTTCTGCTGTTTCAGCCAGCGATCGCTTTGCAGCGAGCAACTTTGGAGTACGTACATCTATGTATATGTATATATATAATATATCTATATATTTATAAATATACTTTGCAATATTTAACATAATGTATTCATTCAACGCTGACTTTTGTAGAAAGAAAAATTTGTCAAATTACTTGATCAACTGCATAATTCGCTAAGGATTGATCTGTCGATGTATCGAAATAACTTTCCGGCTTCAAGTCAAGAAAAACTAATGGATCTCAAGTCAACAGTAGATCTCTTAACCAGTATTACATTTTTCCGGATGAAGGTAAGCTTAAGCTCAAGTTTATTTAAATATATATATATTGAATGTCTAACGATGTAATGATCCAATAGGTACAAGAGCTGTCAAGTCCTCCAAGAGCAAGTACAGTTGTCAAGGATTGCGTAAAAGCTTGTCTTAGATCCACCTATCAATTCCTTTTTGAGAACTGCTACGAGCTTTACAATAGGGAGTTTCAGGTAACTTATACACATACATATAAATGGGTATACTCAAAATACTGATGTCATGAGATGCCATTATACTTTAATTTCTTTATAACTAAAGTACAAAATTAATCTTATCGATAGCTTGGTTTGGGCTCGTTTTGCATGTAATAGAAAAGACGCTAAATATTATCTCCTTTTTGAAGTGTTTCTGTAAAGAAGTTCAACAGAGAACTAACTACACATATTGGAGATTCTAGCTCAAAAAACTGTGGAAGAAGTAATCTTTATTTTAGATTTGCCACATAAGGATTGTGCTGTAATAGGATTAGTTCTTTATTGCTGATGTGTATATCTGACGAAACTTGGGTCTGTAGTGATCTGTGTGATTCATAGTATAGTATTTACATTCAGGTGGATCCAAACGAAGCGAAACGTGATACTGATGACCATGGCCCAAAACTAGATAGCGTTGACTTCTGGCATAAGCTAATTGCATTGATTGTGTCTGTTATCGATGAAGACAAAAATAGTTATGGGACAGTGCTTAATCAATTCCCCCAGGAATTGAACATTGGACAGGTAAGTTGATCTATATAACCTATACAATATACTATGTTATCATATCAATGATCAAATCTGATTGACTTATATTCGGCCACAGCTATCGGCAGCTACCATGTGGGGCCTTTTCGCCGTAGACATGAAGTACGCGCTTGAAGAGCATGAGCAGCATCGGCTTTGCAAGTCATCTGCTTACATGAACTTGCACTTTCGTGTCAAATGGCTATATAGTAACTATGTTAAGGAAGTACCACCCTATAAAGGAGCTGTACCGGAGTATCCAGCCTGGTTTGAGCCATTCGTCATGCAATGGCTAAATGAGAACGATGATGTCTCGTTAGAGTACCTTCATGGCGCATTTAATCGTGACAAAAAGGACGGGGTAAGACCTTTAACTAAATAGTATATAAAATATAACGTACTATTATATTTTTGAGTGTTATTAAATTGTCAAATGTAATGTATTATTCCTCAAATCCTTATTCTCAAACACTGATTATTAAATGAAGTCATAAATTGGACCCCAAAACGAGATGTGTCCAACTAGCATATACTATGAGCCCGTTGCAATTGAGAATTTACAGAATAATGACAAGTTGTATTTATCAGGCAGAAGTAGAAGATGTCGCAGAGACCATGCAGTATATAGATGCACAGGACGCCCAGCTAAGCCAATCAAGCCTTCTCCGGCTTGTCCGACAGTATTGCTAGATGAATTCTTGTGCACAATTCTAACTTACATTGATCAATTTCTCCTTAGCTCATCTCTTTTTCACATTTTAGAAAAAGTCAATAGTTTGATTCGCAAAGAATATAGATGTAGCTGTCAATTTAATAGAATTTTTGGGTCAAGCAGATCTTTTCAGCGGGCTTAAAAGAGTGTATTTGCTGGTGGGACAACTCCGACCTATAACTGATATATAATCGCTTTTCATTCTGTCTGTATCCATCCAAATCAGTTCCAAAAGAGTAGCGAACATGCGTTGTTCTCGAATTCTGTAGTCGACGTTTTCACACAACTGACGCAATGCTTCGATGTTGTTAGCAAGCTCGAGTGTCCAGATCCAGAAATTTGGAAACGTTACATGAGGCGTTTTGCTAAAACAATCGTTAAAGTGCTAATTGCCTATGCTGATATTGTGAAAATGGAGTTTCCAGAGCATATGAGGGATGAAAGAATTGTAAGTACAATTGCCATTAAACCGATCGACCAAGCTATCGGCAAACTGTTCAATAAATATATATGAATAAATGTAAATTGGGATTTTCTCACTGATTTTGAGTCTTCCTTTATCATAGGCCTGCATTCTAATGAACAACATACAACAGTTAAGGGTCCAATTGGAGAAGATGTTCGAGTCGATGGGTGGAGATAAGCTGGAGGAGGACGCAGCCAACATTTTGAAGGAACTGCAGCAGAATTTAAACTCGGCCCTTGATGATTTGGCTTCACTGTTTGCAATAAGGTATTTTGCCTTTAACTGACAATTACCTCGACGTATTCATTCATTGATTTATTCACCCACAGCTTGGAGCCACGTATAACCCAATCGGTGCGAGAGCTTGGCGACATGCTTCTTTCGATCAAGGGAGGCAGCGGCAACCTCACAGCCGTCAATCAGACAGTCCAACGGAACGCAGTGGCTGTGGAAGCCGATGATGTGCTGAGACCTCTAATGGATTTGCTGGATGGATCTCTGACTTTGTATGCCCAGTCGTGCGAAAAGACAGTGCTCAAGCGTTTGCTCAAGGAACTTTGGAAAATAGTTATGCGAATTTTGGAAAAGACCATTGTACTGCCACCAATGACTGACAAAACGGTGAGTGGGACAGCAGCGAAACCCCATATCCGATCCCATATCAGCTCTTTATATGTCGATATAGATGATGTTCAAGCACTTAACGGACAATGCAAAGAATCTGGCTTCAAACGCCAAAATAGAAGACATGGGACGTTTGTTCAAGTCGCATATGGCGGGCAAACAGGATGTTAAAAGTGCTCTTAGCGGCGTTATGGATATATCAAAGGAGGTCGAGAAGAACCTATCCCCCAAACAATGTGCCGTACTCGATGTGGCCTTAGATACAATTAAACAATACTTCCATGCCGGTGGCAATGGACTCAAGAAGACATTTCTAGAAAAGTCTTCGGAGTTACAGAGTTTGCGATATGCCCTTAGCTTGTATACACAAATGACAGACACTCTAATTAAGACCTTCATTTCGAGTCAGGTGCACGAAGGTGAGTTTACTCAATTATGGTGTAATAGCTAGCGCGAATCGTATTGATCATTTTTATATATTCTTAGTTGATCCGGAGAACTCGGAAGAAAGCGTTGGTGAAATATCCGTGCAAATAGATCTTTTCTCACACCCGGGCACTGGCGAGCACAAAGTGAACGTTAAAGGTAAAAATTAGAGTATTATTACTTTAAGCAATTTACAATTCTATTTATTACTATTGCTTACAAATATTTTCGTATAAGTACGTCATTGCAGTAAAATGTCCCGATGCTTTAGCAGAGTCTTAGTGTGTCTGCTATTAAGTCGCGTCCAACTTTCTTGTATCTTATTATAATATGCTATAGACTTGAAATTCGGAATATACACTTGGGAGTGTGGCATATCGGGAAATACTAAATCGGGTATGTCGGCACGCTATTAGTTAAAGTGATATAGACTTGAAACAAATACTCGCGTGGACTTCCCGAGATTTAAGAGATATCACGGACATAACTACCCCCAAAAATCGCAAAAAAATCTTATGTCCACTCCTAGTAAGCATGTGACAAATCGCTGATCTAGATCTGATTCCATAGTGTTTTGTGAAAATCGGCTATACTCCCGAGTATAGCCCGCATCTTAAGTTGTGGAATATTAAGTTATTGTTGAGCTCCCCTATCGATGCGCCCAAACTAAACTTTACTTTCCTGTGGAGGCGCGTCATATAAAAAATACCTCGGTTAGATATGTAGACAGGTAGACAGTAAAGATTTAAATGGGATTGGCGCCGCTTAGACCGTGATTGAGTATTGTGCAGTCGGTAGCACCCGATTGCAAAGTTTTTCTTGTTTACATTAATAAAATACAAACGATCGTTGTTATTATATTTCGTTTTTGCTATTAGTCGTGGCTGCCAATGATCTGAAGTGGCAAATACCGTCAGGCATGTTCAGACCATTCGTGGAGATAAATCTTATTGGACCTCATCTTCAGGACAAGAAGCGGAAATTTGCGACCAAATCAAAGTCAAATAACTGGTCTCCCAAGTACAACGAATCCTTCAGCTTGTAAGTAATTTAGCTATTTTATGTTCAGATCAAAGCTAAGATATGATTAACATAAGTTAATATATGTTTTGAGTTATGTTGTAGATTAAATTGCATTTCTGAATGTGCATTGCGGCACTACGGTCTCTATCTCTATCATTCTATATTCATACTTTTTGTGGGAATAGGGAACTGTCTTCTGCGATTGGGTTGACCCGTATAAAAATAATATCGAATATCAACTAATTAAACTTTGAATACATAATAATATTTTGAGCACGCTTCACCCTTAAACCTGATTGTGTGTCTGACCCTTAGGCAATTAATATAATTCTGTTTAGTTCCACAGACTATCAGCAGTCGTTAGACAAGTGACTTACTAATTGTCCATGAATATAATGTTTCGAATAACTGAATTCACTATTTGATCTTAAACAATTTCACTCTAATCTCCAACTTTAATACTCAAAGAAATGTCTTAAGCTCATGATTGCGATGTCAATATTCAATGTTCAATGTTGAAGGTATCTCCTAGTCGGATCTTCCCGACTACTCAGTTTTGTGTAGACTTGGTATTTAACATATCCTTCATGTGATAAGTGAAATTTTTTGATGAATTTTCCATTTGTAGCACCATTGGCAATGAAGAGCAGCTGGATTTTTTCGAGCTTCACATTTGCGTTAAGGACTATTGCTTTGCCCGGGACGATCGCCTTGTGGGAGTCGCAGTGATACCATTGAAAGATATATCAGAAAAGGTCTTAGCTTTGTGTATCATCAAATTTATACAAATTCTTAACAATATTTATATGTATATATACATCTAGGGATCAGTTGCGTGTTGGCTACCTTTGCAGCGTCGCATCGAAATGGATGAGACAGGTTGGACTATTTTGCGTATACTTTCACAGCGAAATAACGATGAAGTGGCCAAGGAATTTGTCAAACTCAAATCAGAGATACGTCAGGAGCCGACAATGGGTACTTAAATGGACTGGATGGATGGATCTCCACACACACCACAGCCCCCACAGCCCCACGTACACACACTCACTCACGCAGATTCCGTATACAATATATACATTATTTTAAGCATCTATATATATATGTTTTTTTAGTAGCATTATCCCTACATAATTAAAATACATATACAGTACAAGAAATACGACAAGAACATATATAGGTGTGTATCTAATTTGTAATCTAGTTTCAATGATATTATTTTGAAAGGCACGAGTGGCTAGATCATACATAAATATATACATATATGCCAATGTTATACACGTGTATATATTTGTATGTGTATGTGTGTTTGTTATTAAATGAACATGAAGCGCCTCTATGTGTATATATATATATATGTATATATATATATATAAATATATATATATATATATCGGCTTTATTTCCTTTTTAATAGCCAACACACATGCACATAAAAAAAGAAAAAAACGGATCATTTTGTACGATAAAAAGAAAGAATTTTCAAACTTACTTCCCAAAAGAACCAAAGGACAAAAACTCCCAAATTATCATCCAAAACATCTCAAATGTAATTTTGTCATTTACGCACATTCCTATTTTTGTAAATAAGTACTGACCTATGCAAAGGTGTAAATCTGATTTGTATTACTGTCACATAAATTTGTTAAATATAATTCATGTGCATAATAATTATAAACAATTATTTTTTCTATTGAAATAATAAAAGAGTAGCCTATTATTATTATCAAACAACTCTGCATATATCTATATTATTAATATTATTAATCCTAGGTGGCATATTGAATCTTAGCTGACCTGCGACCTTCAAACTTACTAAACATATATACATTCAATTATTTTGGCTACAAATACTTATATATTTAAGATAATTGGATAAGATAATTGTGTTATCCGCATAGGATAACACGAGAGCATACACAAGCCCAAACTTCGTCTCCATCAGGAGCTCGGATTTGTGTATGTATGTATGTAAGCGCAAGTTGCCATGAGTAGAGAGGAATTAAGAGAAAACACGAAAATGAATGAAACGTTTTGTTACCGTTGTTCTGCTTCAGTCTGTTGCCTACAGAAGCAATGTGAGTGCGGCCGTTAACATAAATATTCCTGGTTTTATGAACGACATTTTTATACCCTGATCCCATTGAAAATGGGAAATCAGGGTATAATGGTTTTGTGCAAATGTATGTAACAGGCAGAAGTAGGCGTGGCAGACCCCATAAAGTATATATATTCTTGATCAGGACGACAAGCCGAGTCGACTGAGTCCTGTCCGTCTGTCTGTCCGTCCGTCCGTCAATCGAATAAAAACGTTATTGAAATGCAGTAAATAAATTATATCTCGAACGTCTTGAGAGCTAGAGCCTCCAAATTTTGTATTTAGTTTTATGTATATTTTATGCGATTTCTATTTTTGTTGGATTTTCGATACTGGCTCCAAGTTGCCCCAAATTCTTAAAATTTAAGTTTAGTTGGCACTAGGGCCAAGGCGTTTGCATCTCAACCAAGCCATTAGGATATGTAAATTATATGCTGAAAATTTCATTAAAATCTATTAAGTAAAACAGAAATTATTAAACAAAACGTTTGGCCAATTTGCAAAAGCACATGTCAGCTGTGCCACGCGCACGCATTTTTCCTATGCGTGTGCACACATACATTCAAATGCGTGCATTCTTTTCTATTCCAAGAATCGAAATTGCGATTGAATTGTGCTGAATAATTGGTTGCTACTTAACTTCAAATTTGCAACTATTCTGGCAAGAGGTGCAGTGGCTGCGTTGGTAGAGGCGGCGCTCGTTAGTGTTTAGTCTCGGGTTCTCAACCCTCGCGGCGACGAGACTTTTTTTATTGTTTTTTTTTTTTTAATTATGAAGTGGCGGTGTTGGTAGAGTTGGTGCACGTTGCGCAAACAGTTCGAGTGCGAAGCCTAGTCGTGCAATGTCGTTTTTTATTTGTTTTCTTTTTTATACCCTGATCCCATTGAAAATGGGAAATCAGGGTATAATGGTTTTGTGCAAATGTATGTAACAGGCAGAAGTAGGCGTGGCAGACCCCATAAAGTATATATATTCTTGATCAGGACGACAAGCCGAGTCGATTGAGCCCTGTCCGTCTGTCTGTCTGTCCGTCTGTCCGTCTGTCCGTATGTGTGAACGCGTGGATCTCAGCATATATAAGAGCTAGAGACTTGAAATTTTTTTTGTAGGTCCGTGTATAGCACGCGCAGGTCAAGTTTGTTTCAAATATTCGATAACTATTCGCATTTAATTGTTATCGAATAAAAACATTATTGAAATGCAGTAAATAAATTATATCTCGAACGTCTTAAGAGCTAGAGCCTCCAAATTTTGTATTTAGTCTTAGAATTTAAGTTTAGTTGGAACTAGGGCCATTATGTCAAGGCGTTTGCATCTCAACCAAGCCAATAGGATATGTAGATCAAATGCTGAAAATTTCATTAAAATCCATTAAGTAAAACAGAAGTTATTAAACAAAACGTTTGGCCAATTTGCAAAAGCACATGTCAGCTGTGCCACGCGCACGCATTTTTCCTATGCGTGTGCACACATACATTCAAATGCGTGTATTATTTTCTATTCCAAGAATTGAAATTGCGATTGAATTGTGCTGAATTATTAGCTGCTACTTATGTTCAAATTTGCAACAGCTCGCGTAAGAAGGGCAGTGGCTGCGTTGGTAGAGGCACCGCTCGTATGCAGCTTGGTCCGGGTTCGAGACCAGAGGAGATGAAATGTTTTTTATTGTTTTATTTATTTTTTTTTTTTTTTAGTTATGAAGTGGCGGTGTTGGTAGAGTTTGTGCACGTTGCGCAAATAATCCGGGTTCGAATCCTGGTCTCGCAATGTCGATTTTTATTTGTTTTCTTTTTTTTTTAATACTCGATACAAACTACGGAAAATATTACAAAACTCAAAGGACTGGGATCAGGGTATCTCCTAGTCGGGCACCCCGACTAGAGCTTTCTTACTTGTTTTGAATACTCGATATGAACTACGGAAAATATTAAAAAACTCAGAGGACTGGAATCAGGGTATCTGCTAGTCGGGCACCCCGACTAGAGCTTTCTTACTTGATTTCATTTAAAAAGTGTCAAACAATTGTGTTGTCAAGCAATTGCTGCTCAGTCTACTAATAGTTTTGGGAACGTTGCTTAAGTGTACAGGACACTGTATAATTTTCGAATCGTTTTCAAATGATATTTGCATATAAAAAGCTGGTTATGAACATTAAAAAATATTTATTCGTTTGCTTCCAAAAAACAAAACAAAAAAAATTTTACGTTCTTGCATTTAGCCAGAATACTGCGGAGTGCGCTCTAATGTTAGAGGCGCTCATCACGAGTGGCTGGAAGAGGACTCCAAATCAACAATCAAAATAATATTTGTATTATATATTTATATTTAAATATTTAAAAATGTATTGCACATTAATAGTAACACTAATTCTAATACACATTTTTAGATAAGTATACATGCTTGTGCATATATGTATGCATGTATTTGAATTCAACCAAGGAATAGCTAGAACATATTGCATCATGTATTTCTTCAAGTACCATAGAGTTATAATCATTTAAGAGCTTGCCATTAGTCTGAATATTGTTCTAGTACGATAAGAATTTGCTACTTAATATCGGTGATCTACTTAAGCTCACAAAATAGTAAATACTTTACTTTGTGTATCGTGATACCAGCCAGAGCAATCTAGAGCAATAGATACCGACAAGCAGATACCCAGTGAAAAGGCAAGAGCTTCCTTGCCTTCGAGTTGCTCTTAAAATGTGTAAAGTTCAAAAGGAGTAGACTAGAATTCAACATCCAAAGTTAAAGTCGAGCTAATCCAACGGAGGAGAGAGAATATTTGATAAATATGGTTCAGAATGTTGTTTTTTGTGTTTTAGCACATCGAAATTATAATGCTTAAGATTTTGTATCTGTATTGTGCAGTAAACTTTCCACTTTATGGAGAGTTTGATTTGAGAATATATGTGTTCCGGAATTTACTGGGAACATCCGTGATCAGTGGGACCAAAGTGGCTTACGGACGGACTGCCAAACGGTGGAAGTGGGCGAGGATCAGGGCTAAATGGAGCCAAAGGAAGATGTCCGTAAAGTATAATATTTCTCTCGGGTAAATACCTTTACCCCACTTTGTCTCAAGTTTGAAATAGAGAAAAGCATCTTCGGGAGTTGCCTATTGAATGTGAATAGGCAAACCCCATTTGCTAGTCGGGCACACTCAAATAGAGCACTCGTACCGCACGGGCTACACTTATGACACTGTATTGATCTTGTTCTCTTGCTAGAATTTACAATTATATATATATATATAATCCGGAATTTACTGGGAACATCCGTGATCAGTGGGACCAATATATATATATATATATATATATATATATATATATATATATATATATATATATATATATATATATATATATATATATATATATATATATTGAAAGACGCAGTACGAGCCGAAAGACAATAAAAATTAATCACAACCTCATTTTATATTGTTTTGTATTTATCATTAGATCCGTTGAAGCAATAATAATCATAGTTTAAAAGTACTTACATTTATTTAGATAGATATTTAAGTACTTTTAAAGTACACACTCGAATTAATTTATTTACAAAATTTGCAAGATGCGCAAGAACATATGAGATAATTTTGTATGAATGTGTGCATGTATATATATATATATACATATATATATATATATATATATATATATGTATATCTCTGTGTCGATGTAATGTAGTTGAAAACAATACAGTGTCATAATTTGTCTATATACCCATATCCCTATTCGAATATAGTGAACCAAAAAGGATAAAGGAGGAGAGGCGTTTCGATTATGTGACTAATTGCATCCGTGAAGAGTATCTAAGCATCTAATAGATCTAAGAGATGCTGATTCTTAGCTCTTAAGTATGTAGAAGAACATGATAAGATGTCTATCAATCTACATGCATACATCATTTTGTATTTGTGTATACAAATTTAATCTCTATATATTTATATATATATAATTGCAGCCCTTACATACACTTTATATATATACATATATATATATATATTTGTTTTTTCTCGATTCGTGCATATACTATGTATATAAGAATATAAATATGTTAATATAGAGACGGATACGGACCATCCTAATCGTCCTAATAGCTAACTAATAACTAAGTAAATTAATATTTTGCTATGGCATTGGTGCATAAATGGCACAAAAATTGGAGCGAACAATTCTCGTCGACTACGAAACACTTATTCGAAATCATATATATATATATATATATATATATATATATATATATATATATATATATATATATATATATATATATATATACGTATATATATATAATATATACGTTTATGTGTGCGCGCATGTGTGTGTGTTTGTGTTTGTGTGGGTGTGTGTGTATGATGGCACTTGAACTGAAACTTAAAGACCTATACAAAGATTCTAACTTGTTTTTTTATATTTACAAGCAAAAGTAAAATTTATCTTAATCCGGCCGAATTGCCTTTCCTTTTGCAACTGTCTTGGCGGAGGTTTGGTTATAGACAGGCTGCTTAATCTTCATCTCGCAGTGATGCTATTTCCATATCCTCAGACGAGAAACCCGATGGCGATAAGCTTTCCGGTGGATAATAATAATTGCTACTGCTGCTTGCGACGGGTCTGGAGTCTAGCAATTGAGCCGGCGGCGGTGGCGTCTCACAATCGTCAACAATGGCTTGGGTCATCTCCTGCAGATGGTAGGCGGCAGCAGCGGCCGCTGCTGCAGCCTGCACGGCGGAACCAGCCTCTTGGCTATGGCCATTGGAGCTGCCACCTGCCGGACCGCCGCCTCTACACCAAAGCTGTCGCATTTCCGCACGTCGATTGCGCATTAGCACTTTATACTCGGATATGCGCATCTTTTTGCCATCGACAATGCAAGTGCGTTTGGGGCGTGGACGATAGCGATAATCGGGATGCTGTTCCATATGCAACTTGGAGAGACGCGATTGCTCCTCGTAGTAGGGCTGCTTATCAGCGTTCGACATCGCTTTCCAGCGGGCGCCCAAGATTTTCGATATATTTGAGTTGTGCATGTCCGGGCAGGCTTTTAATATTTTTCGCCTCTCGTCCTTAGCCCAGACCATGAACGCGTTCATTGGCCTCTTAATGTGAGGCTTACTGTGGCCATGGCCATGTCGCTGCGTCTGTCCACCCAGTTGGGCATGGCCATGTGCTTGGCATTCTGCATCCAATGCAGCCGATCGCTCCGAGCTGGTGCCACAGCTGTTTAAGGAATCACGACTTGTCCGGGCTACTCGAGCACTTGACCCTCCTACCCTTCCCCCAACGACGGCGACGCTGATGCCGCCGCCACCGCCGCTCGATAAATTGGGATTTGGCTCTGGGCCACTGCCAGTGCTTGCACTCCATAAGCGACCCTGAAAAAACACATTGAGTAAATTGAGGATGGGATAGAATGATTAGCATATTTAATAACAATTGAATCCCATCAGTACGCGAATTCAGTTATAGTTGGGATCTAATATCTGGAGTGCAGATTCTCCTGAACTCTGGATATCAACCCCAACTAGCATCAGACTATAGTTTCCCAAAGTATTTAGATATATTGGAATCAAAGTATAGTCTAGGGTCCTCAATTCGGCCTGTATAATTGCTTGAGGGATACATTTGGAGTAGTCTTACTTACGCGGCTTTGTAAGTAGCTAGCCTCGACATCGGCGAATAAGGAAGCGGATGCGGATTGCTGTGAATGATGGGGAGTAACTGAGACCGCTTGGCCTACCTGCTGCCAGTTCAAAGGTGGGCTGGGAACAATGGGTGTTAGGCGCTCACGCTCTCGCTCTCTCTCTCGTTCCCGCTGATGCCTCAGGCCGGCGCTAATCGGGGACGAGTCAGGTGAACCCTTAGGCTTCGATAGGTTAAGTGGTGCATCCATTTCAGAGCTTAACGCTTCAGACTCCTTGCTTCGATGTTCCGCCGGCGATGATGGAAACTTTATTGAAATTGAACTATCCAACGGGCTGTGCGTTGCCAGACCAGGTGAGTCCGGTGGCGTATTGTGGCTAAATGTGTGCACGGTTGAGCGATCTCGCAAAGGTGAGCCCGACCTAGATGCAGATGCAGATGCTGATGCAGATGCTTTAGTCTCAACAACACATTCGGCGCCAGCCAGCTCCAAGGTATCCATCGAGCTCTGATCCGTTGCATCGGCAATTGAATATTTTGCGCTGCTATTGCTGTACTTATTATTACTATTATTCGCATTATTGTTATTGCAAATATTATTATTATTATTATTATTGTTACTGTTATTATTGTTGTTGTTGTTGGCGGTGGTGGTGGCAGCCACGGCTGCGGCAGCCAATGCTGCTTGAATGTGAGCCGCAGCAACTGCCGCTGTAGGCCACATCGGCTGCATTGTCAACTTATGGGCGTGGGCGTGGGCGTGGGCGTGCGCGTGGGCGTGGGCATGGCTGTGTGCATGGGCGTGGCTGGGATTGTGACTGTAATGCGATTGGGCTGTCGCCACGTGACCAGGCATTATGGGCACAGGTGGACGCAAGAATGGCAAAAATGGCACTAAATTGCTGGGCAACGCAGCCGCAGCTTGATGTTGATGCTGATGCTGTTGATGATGCTGTTGATGATGTTGTTGGTGCTGCTGTTGATGCTGCTGTTGATGCTGCTGTTGATGTTGCGCAGCGAATCTGCCTGTACCGAATTGAGCGCTCAGCTGCTGATGAAGTTCCTGCAGGCAGTTCTCCTGGTG